ACGGGATACAAAGAGAACGCACAAAAAACAATCTACACACTAGGGATATACGGTTGGAAACCAAAACTTAAAAATTAACTTTTGTGGGGCGTCTGGGTGGGTCAGTGGGTTGAGCCTCCGACTCCTGATTCTGTCGTGATCTTGGGGTCCTGGGATGGAGCCCTACGCTGGGCTCCGTGCTCAGCAAGGAGTCTGCTCGGGATTCCCTCTCTGCCCCTTGCTCCCTCGCTTTCTCTGAGTAAACAAATCAACAAAATCTTTAAAGAAATACAATCCTTTACAACAGCTCAAGGACAAAGGAGACGCTCGGGCGGCAACCGAAGGAAGCAGGTGCCCGCGCTGGGCGCTGCAGAAGGACGCAGAGAAAAAGCAAAGACACAAATTATGTTCCTGGGTTGGAAGACAACACAGACGTCAGTTCCCCCCAAACTGACCCTAGATTTACGACAACTCCCACCCGTGCCCAGCAGGGCTTCCTGTAGCTACGGGCAGGGGATTCTGAGACTCCCCCGTTCTGGTGAAGGGACAGAAACAGCTGGAGACCCTCTGAGCAACAGGGAGGAGAGCAGGGGGTTCCCAGCCCTGCAGCTACCGCTCGCCGGGGCGCGTGCGACAGACGGACTGCGCTGGTGCAGACACACGGGTGGGGGCGACAGGTCGCACATGCGTGACGACTGGGCTTCACGAAGGCACCAAGTGAGTGGACAGAGGGAGGCTATGGCCGTCCGTGGAGGCAAACAGCCCACGGTCATTTCCACAAACGGCCAGCCGGATGCAGAGAAACTAACCTAAACTTCACGGGCCTTGCAAAAATCAACTCAAAATGGGTCAGAGGTCTAGGCGTGGCCTGTCATGACGTACTGCCAGCGGGGACGGAGGCGCGGGTGGCAGGAGGAGGCTCCCAGACACGACCTGAAAGCCCGGTCCACGGCGCCCTTCTCCGGAACTTACTGATCCGGCCTGTGACACAGGAACCGGAGGAAAGCACCTGCAGCCACACAGCGGACAAGCAGCGTGTCGCTAGAACCGGCCAACGGCTCTCTGGCTCAGCAGCCGCCCCGCCCGGAGAAGACGCTCCCGCCACACGTCAGCGGCCACACACAGCTGTGTCTCACAGTCGTGAAGGCCCGAGGCCCAGTCCAGGCCACCGGCTGGGGCTCCGGTTGAGCACTTCTTGCTGCGTCCATAGGTGGCGGGCGGGGTGGGGGTGGAGCTCCCTGGGGTCCCTCTCCCGAGCCCCACCCGTGACCTGTCATTCCCCTCCCAAAGGCTCTGTGTCCCAACACCTTCACCTCGGGCTTGGGTTTCAGCCGATGACTTCGGGGGGCGGGGGGCACACAGCTATTCTGGAAAACGGCGCACGTTCTCAGGAATCCAAGCGACGCTTACCGTGCGACCCAGCAACACCACTGCTCGGGGACAGGGGAGGGCGCTCCACACCAGCCTGCCAGCAAGCGCTCAGAGCAGCCGCACCGGGACCCAGACTGGGAACCACCCAGACGCCTCCAGCAGGTGTGGACTCCGACGCACCGGTGTTTGGCGCCTGGCGGTAGCCGGAACCGAGCGGCGCTGTCGGCGGTGCTGAGCGTCCGCGTGCTGAGCGGAGGGCCGGGCCTCAGAAGGCAGTGCCCGCGGCTCCAGCCCCAGCGGCCCTCAACCGGAGAACGGGCGCCGGCTGGGGGCTCAGGGCGGGGTCCAGAGATGCAGGAGCTGCTCACGTGCTCCCGTGTGAGCAGACGTCAGAGCCGCACCCGGAACGCTTATGACCCAACTTCCCCGCGACAAATCGCAGGGGCTGTCGGAGAAAGTGCCACCGACTCACCCGCCAGGGGCCCAGGCAAGACTGCAGGTGTGGTTCCAAATGCACAGGAAAAGTAAGCGTCGTCCCAGGACTCTCAACCCAGTCAACATCTAACCCAAGGCTAGAGTCGGGGCCTGCGGGCTTGGTCAGTCGGGTGTCCAACTCTCGATTTCGGCTCAGGTCGTGACCTCAGGGTTGTGAGACTGAGCCCCGCGTCGGGCTCCAGCTGGGCACAGAACTTCTCCCTCTCCCTCTGCCCCTCCCCACACATTCCCCCCAAAACAGACCCAAGAGCAAAGGTGGGACACACCCAGCTTCAGGAAGCCAGAGGCCTGCAGGACAGTGCGGCGGGCGGCTACGGGGGGCACAAGGCAACGGTGAGCCAGAGCAGCGTGTGGATGCCCTGGCTGCTGTTGACGGTTTTTAGCGGGTTTTTTTTCAGATGATTCTATTTATTCGAGAGAGAGAGAGAGAAGGTGCACAAGCAGGGGGAGCGGCAGAGGGAGAAGCAGACTCCCCGCCAAGCAGGGAGCCCAACCCGGGACTCGATCCCAAAACCTTGGGATCACGACCTGAGCTGAAGGCAGATGCTTAACGACTGAGCCCTCCGGGAGCCCCCTAATAAGTATTTTTTTGTATTTAAAACTAATATGGACTTGAAATTCTAGAGAACGTGCGGAGGGAGCAGGAGGTCAAATGAAGGCCAAAGTGGAAGTCACGCTGCGCAGAACGTCACCGGTGCAGCTGGCAGCTCCTCAAATACACCCCCACACGGCCTGTCACCTCCCCCAGCGGCAAGGGAACCGGCCAGGACACGAGCCATACACGGCTCTCCCAGCAACACGGCTCATGACAGCCGATGTGGGGACAGCCTGAAGGTCCATCCACGGACAAATCAACCAAATGTGGTAACTGGAGTGTCGTCCGGCCCTCGGAAGCTTGGAGTCCTGATTCCCGCTCCGGAGTCTGGAATCGTCCTGCTCGAGCCAGGCGTGAAGCCTGCGCTGTGCCACCAGAGGTGGCGTCCAGAAGAGTCCCCAGGGACAGACAGCAGCAGAGCTAGCCGGGGGCAGGGCCTGCTGCCTTCTGGGAGGTGACAAGGTACTGGAACAGACCTGCCACAGGGCCTGCCTCTAGAGCCTGTGCTGTGTCCAGAGGCCCCCACACTCCCCACAGCAGCCAGCACTCAGCAAGGGCAGGCGCCTGGTGCCCTCGGCTCTGGTGCAGACCTCCCCCCACTTCTCCTGGAGCCTGACGGCCCTCCTCTGCCCACAGCACTCCTCTAGCAAGCTCTCCAGACCCAGACCCCCGAGCCCCTGCAGGCCAGCTGCCCTGGAGAGCAAGGGATGACTGTCAGGCAGCCTCGCCCGGGCCCTCCTCAGCTCACCAGCCACCCCCCAACCCTCCTTCCCCCTTCTCAAATGGGCACATATCTTTCTGCTCTTGCCTCCCCTCCCCCCACTCTGTCCTGTGGGCCAAAACTTTTCCAACCCTGTCATTTTACTGCTCTGTTTTAAGGAAAAGGAAGTAAATTCACTAATGTCCTTGGTTTATCCCAACTGACCTAATGGAAAAGAAAACGCACGCCCCCCACACAAATTCCCAAAGTAAAAATCCAATGTGTTGAAAATAAAGCTTTAAAAACCTCATAAAAAACCCAAAAGCATTTTCTCAGGGAGACTTGGCACTTCCTAAGTGGTCAGTGGCAGAGTCCACAGGAAGCAGCCACCTGGCGCGTCCGGCCGGCTTCAGGCTCCCGAGCTAACACAGCACAGACACGACTATGGACTGGTCCTGCCGACAGGGGAAACCAAGACCGACAACCCAGGAGACAGGCGGCCAAGGGCGGGCGGGCGTGTCTCTGGGCTCTGTGGCCCAGCAGGCCTTCGTGCTCCCGGGCCAGGAGCCCGACGGGGGCGGCGTGGGGGGGATGACGATGGGCGGGGGCTGCCAACCTGGGCCAGCTCCCTGCGAGGACACTGTGGTCTCGTTTGTGGGGACGCGGGACAGAAACTCATGAGGACGGTGCCCGGGAGAGCTGGGAGGGAAGGGCCGGGCAGGACGTCCCCTTCCTGCCGTGTCTCTCTGAGCACCATGGCACACATCCTGGGGGAAGCTCGCTTCTTTCTCCTCAGCGCTTCTCTGTCACTTTAACTCTCGACATAGAGAAGTGAGTCGGGTCAGGCGAGGTCACATGTGTCGTGGGCTCTCCACAAAGACGCCCGGGCTGCCCCCGACCGGGCCCTCTGGAACAGGCAGTCCCGAGAAGAAACGAGGGGTCCCCAGCACACAGTGCAGATGGCCACCGGCCAGGACCCCGAGTCTGCCCCGGTCCCACACTGCACAGGGCAGAGGCCCTGACCCGGGTCCCGCGGAGGTTCAGGCCTACGCCCAGGGCGCCAGGAGGAGAAAAGGCCTGGCGTCGGGACACGTCCGGTTCAGGGGAGGCAAACGCAAAAGAAGCTGCTCTTCCAGCGCTAGAGGTCCCTGCGTGGATGGGCGGGGACACACGGGCACCTGCTCTCGAGGCACCCCTGGGGAGGCCTGCGGGGAGAGGAGCCAGCAAAGAACGTGCCAGGAAAGAGAAGAGTCGGCTTCAGCAAGGCGTGCGGGAATGAGCTGTTGTGTCGGACGCCACGTAATTTCTCAGGGACTTGGTGACTTGTGGGGAGGGGCCACAGGAGGGCAGAGGGCCAGGACACCCGAGGTGACCACCACCGAGGCCAGAGGCAGACAGACACCACGCACCGGAGATTTAACAGTTTAATAACACCTTCTCCGCAGCCCAACGGGGCAGCCGACCCATCCCGTCTCGTCGCAGGGCCGAGGGCACACCCCACACTCACCACAGGGCAGCTGAAAGGCTGCCCCGAGGACACGGGAGTGCCCTCCCTGCCCGCTGGCCTGGCCAGGCCTGCACAGCAGGACCTCTCCTCAGAGTAGCGGCCAGGCCTGAGAACGTCCCTTCTCTCCAGGCCGAAGGGCGGGACACGGTGCCGGCTCCCCTTGCCCTTCGGCTCCCCCTGCCCCGAGCGCCCGCACGGCCGGCCTGCCGCCAGCTCCTGGCAGGCCTGCAGCCCACCCCACGGGGCCCGAGCGGAGCGGCCTCTCCCAGGGCGGCCCCTTCCCAGTGGGATGTGAACACAGCAGGCGCCCACCCAGCACGAGGCTCAGGCCCCGCGTGGTGGCTCCTCACCGAGCTGCCAGCCCCGCGGTTCCTGACCCCCCACCCGACCCTGGGGAGAGGCAGCTAGAGCCCCGTCAGGTCCACGATGGCTTTGATAAAGATGGCATCATCGCGCACGTAGGAGTTCTTGGCCTCCATCTTGGAGACAGGGCAGAAGAGGGGGCAGCCACTGGCAATGTTCATGTCACTGACTGGCCTCTGGAAAGAGGACGAGGTCACGTCGGGTCTAAAGGCGTCAATCACGTGCTCCCGGTTGTTCTGGTCAAGCAGCATTAACGTGACCTGGAAGAGAGCAGCCGCGCAGGGACGACACCCTGAGTCACGCCCCACCCAGCCCCAGCTCCCTGTCTGGGTGATCGGTGCCCATTCCGGCACTTTCCGTCCCTCGGGCCCCGGGCTCTGAGGCCGCAGGGGACACCGCAGAGCCGTGCTGGCTGGCGCCTCGCCAACTCGCAGTCACGTGACAGAGGCTCTCATATGGAAGAGCTCTCAGAGCACCCACTGCCCTCCCGAAGGGACAGTCCTTGTCCGTCAGGAGCCACAGCTGCCCCGTGCCGCCGCCTCCACCAGGAAGCCCACAGGGCCAGCCCAGCGTGGTGGAGGGAAAGGACGATGGCGCTGGCACCTTCAATCCCTCCACCAGGAGCCGACTCCGGGTCTCAGAGAGTCCATAACCCCCAAAGACGCGGGCTCTCCTGCCGTACCCCTCCTCGGGGACTGACTCCGAGGCAGCGTCTTTAACCGCTGGCCCCGAGGGGTGACTACCTCACTGCCCTCAGGGCCCCTGGGACAGCCGCTGGGACAGCCTCACGCACCTTCTGGTTGAAGGGCCAGCGCAGGAGCGCGTCGTGGGGGCCCTTCATCACCACAAAGAAGAGCGACAGGTGTGTCCCGCGCCCGGTGCCGTCTCCGTTCAAGTAGATGCGCAGACACATCTTGTAGCCGTACCTGCTCGTGTAGAAGGCTGCGGGGAGACGGCACCCGTGACCCCACGCCGAGGGCTCCCCGAGAAACCCACACACGGAGAAAATGCCCAGGTCTGGGGGCACGTACCCGTCCTCCGACTACGTATGCTTAGCTCCTCGTGGACACGAGCGCCCCAAAGCAAAAACAACTAATTAGGGAAAACCTTTCTAAGAACCCCAAATGCGAGCCCAGCACGGCCACACGTGAACTAGCCGTGAAGCTCGGCGCTGGTCCAACCTGAGCCCGGCCTGGAGGGGGCGACAGTGGGTAGCACCTGGGACAGCTTCGAGGGGACGAGGCCAACACCCAGCAGGGTGCCCGGAGACTCCCACTAGCCAACCTCCCTGCCTTCCTGCTCCCACCTCCAGGAGCTGGACCCGGCCCTGCTCCCCCCGGGGGAGGGGGGTCCAGCCGGGGCACACGCCTGACCCCCCGCCCTTGGCCCGCTTCTGTCAGAGCTCAGTTCGGAAGAGATTCCCGTTGGCAGGGGGGCTCCTGCTCCTCCGGGAACGCGCTAGCAAGGAGGGGCCCGCCAGAGCCCAGAGCCCAGAGGATGGTGCCGGACAGACAGCATGCCTGCCCCACACCCTGGAAGCCAGAGCATGTGCTCCGTCCGGGACGGGCCTGGAGACGTGGCAGGACCACACAGCGGCCCTACCTATGGGCCGCGCTCCCCGTCCCGCCCCAGGCCGCCCGCAGGAGAGGGACCTACACGCTAAGCCCATAGCTCCGAAGGCACTGCGGGAGTCACGGGCGCGTGCGGCTCTCTCCGTCGGAGGGGGTCAGGTCTATGCAGGGGGCCTGGGCAGGTAGGGGCACGGCGGCCCGAGGAAGGGCTGCGGAGTGCCCGCGGCCAGGGCAGAGCAGAGGCCCCCGCTCCCAGCACCTGCTCGCGGCTCCATCCTTGAAGACCCAGCGGAGAGGCGGCAGGCGCGGGGAGCCCTCCACAGGCAGCCCCCCAGCCCCCTTGCCCTCTCGGGGAGGCGCTGGCATCTCAGACAGCAGCAGCTCTGGGGGCAGATTCCAGACCAGCACCTGGGGAGAAGATGGCGGGCGTGCGGCCAGCCACGGCCTCCTGCCGCTTCCTGGCGAAGTCAGAGATCTTCCAGACGAACACGCCGTCGAACGTGGTCGCCTCCATCTCATGGACCTTCTGCTCTAGCTCCGCCATTGCCAGGTCCTTCAGACTGATGCTCCTCTCCAGCTGCTGTACCTGGGGGGCCCGGGGGCCTGTGAGGGCGTGCGGCTTCTCGGGCGCCGGCAGGCGGGGCCGTGGGCCTCCATCCAGCGTGCCTCTGAAGCCACCTTCACGGGGAGGTGCCTACGGAAGTGCCCCACACCCACCTCTCCACCAGCTTCGGGCAGCACGGCATCCCCCAGCGGCCCCCGAGGTTTCACTGGGCTCAGCTTATCTCAAGTCAGCTCTGTCCCCATAGGACACCCAACCCCACCTATGCCCAAGGTCAAGAGCTCAGTGCAGGAAACATGCTCGCAGCGCCCACAGCAACTGTGAGGCCTGTTCCCTGCGGCCACCTCTACCCCCACAGGCCAGAGAGAGAAGGCTGCCTTGGAGTGACCACTAGGATGCCCACATCAGGCCCGTCAAGTGAGCAGGGCTCACAAACAGAGGAGGCAGAAGCAGAAAGAACGCTGTGCTAGAAACCAAGGTGCCGTCCTTGAAATCCCAGCTCAGGTGCCATGATGCCCCGGGACCCACCCGGACTAGCCCTGAGCACCCCGGGCCCACACCTTGTTACTCAGGGCCTCGATCCTGTCCTGGTCCAGCCGGTGCTGCCGGCCACAGGCCTCGGCGGTCATGGCCACCCTCTCTACCTCTCGGTTCAGGACGCAGACGATGTTCTCAAAGGTGGCGGTCTTCCTCTCCAGGGCCTCGCACCGCTGCTGCAGCTCCGCAGCCTTGGGGAGCCCCGCCTCGGGGTGCAGCGTGCTGGCTTCCCAGCCCCCCACCTCGCTCTGGCTCAGGAAGTGGCCCCCTGCCCCAGAGAGGGGCTTGGCCTCCAGGAGGCCACCCAGCAGCATGGCCAAGTGCTCCCGGAGCCAGTGGGCCTCGTGTTGCTGCTGCTTCTCGCTCTCCACCTGCAGACGGAAGCAGGGGGCTCAGCCCTGACCCAGAGCCCCGCGGACGGGCTGCAAGGTGAAGCAGAGCGGGGACACCTCCCCATCGTTCACTTGCCAGCACGTCACCTGTCGCTAGCTGGAGTCGCTACCTTCCCAAACACAGACCGTCCTAGTAACTTCTCTGCTAGTATTCAACATAACAAGGAGGAGCACACGCGTGTAAGACGCTGCCCAAGCAGAGAGGAGACCCGTAAAGCTAACCTTTCCCCAAGTCTTCAATATTCTTTATCACACGCTTCTGAGTTTCTCCTAAACTTCGCAACAAATAAAAAAAATTTTCTTTAGGGGCGCCTGGGTGGCTCAGTGGGTTAAGCCTCTGCCTTCAGCTCAGGTCATGATCCTGGGGTCCTGGGATTGAGCCCCGCATCGGGCTCTCTGCTCAACGGGGAGCCTGCTTCCCTCTCTCTCTGCCTGCCTCTCTGCCTGCTTGTGGTTTCTCTCTGTCAAATAAATAGATGAAATCTTAAAAAAAAAAAATTAAAAAAAATTTTAAATTTTTATTTATTTGAGAGGGAGAAAAAAAAAAGAGAGAGAAGGAGGAAGAGAAAGCACAGAAGGGGAAGCAGGCTCCCCGCTGAGCAGAGAGCCTGACGCGGGGCTCCATCCCAGGACCCTGAGACCATGACCTGAGCCGAAGGCAGAGGCTTCACCAACTAAGTCACCCAGATGTTCCCAAATTTTAAAATGTTACACACTCTCAGGGGCGCCTGGATGGCTCCGTCATTAAGTGTCTGCCTTTGGCTCAGGTCACGATCCCAGGGTCCTGGGATTGAGCCCCGCATCAGGCTCCCTGCTCAGCGGGGGTCTGCCTCTCCCTCTCCCACCCCCTCTGCTTGTGTTCCTGCTCTCACTGTCTCTCTGTCAAATGAATAAATAAAATATTAAAAAAAATAAAATAATAAAAGTAGAAACGTTAGACGCTCTCAAGACAGCAAAAGTAGAAAGCAACAAACAAAGTCCACGAGACATGGTGCCCAGAGAGCACGTCCCAAGTGGTGCTGGGACAGGCGGTCCCCTGGTGGTCTAGGGGTGGGCGTGGGGGCGGTGCGTGCGTAACACGGGGCTGGGGGCTTGAGGTCAGGGTCAGAGCAACGAGCCCAACACCGCCTTCAGCCTCGGGGTGCGTCTGGCTCCACTGGCTAGAAAGCCTGCGGCTGCCACACTCTGGGCCCACAAGCGGGCCGCCAGCAGCGCCCACAGCGGGGGAACACCACCTGTACCACATCGCCAAACGCAAAGAACGGTGGGAGGGGCCGTTCTTGTGGGCCGCACCTGAGACCAGGTGTCCAAGCTCCAGATGACGGCAGCCCTGCGACTACCGCCACAGAAAGCCTGCCAGGGAGTCTGCAGGCAGCAGCACGCCAGCCGTGCCCCAGGCCCTCCGAGAGCCGGGGGCTGCACCTCCCACCCCCGGGGACACAGCAGTCGGGGAAAGAAGGGTAGAGGCCGCGCAGAAGCCTGATCGAGTGGCACAGACGCCAACGGGTCATGGTCCTGGGGTGGGAACGGGTCCGTGTGCACGAGGACAGCCAGGCCAGTGACCCACCAGGGCCACATAGGCCACCGAGACAGGGGAGGCAGGTGTGGTCCCGGACCTGTCTGCAGGAAGCATGGACCTCCCCGGGTGGACTGGACAAGGCGCAGGAGACAAGGGGAAGGCCCACAATGACTGCTGGGCTTTGGATGGCACCACTGGGTGACACAAACTGCTCATTTTGGGCAGGTTGGGAGGGTTGGGGTGGGGGGTCCCAGACTACAGCTGAGGCTTGAGATGCCCACGAGGTATCAGGGAGGTACAAAGCTCGGGGCAGTTTCAGCAGAGGGAGGTGGTCAGAGGTAGGGCCCTGAGAGAGCACGAGGACAAGTGGACGGAGCAGAGCCCGAGCAGAGGCCGGGACAGCTGAGGGCCGAGGAGGCAGCGGGGGAGGTGGGAGGGAGACCAGGAGGCCAGGCCGGAGGCCGAGCAAGGACTGCGTTGGGGAAGAGCACGTGCAGGGCGCTTCTGCGGGGTCCCCTTTTGGGATATAGGGAGCTGCCGCAGGCCTGGCCCCAGCGGACCCATGGCCAGTGGGACTCACCAACTCGGGGCAGCCGACGACATGGAACCTGCACGGGGCCCGGCACTTGCCGCACGCCCTGACATGGTCCTGGAACTAGAAGGAAGGACGCCGTGAATGCCTTGCCTTTCCCCTCCCTGCCTGGCCTCTTCAGTCTCACACCAAACAAACTGAGAGCCCAGTTGGAGAGCCGAAGGTGCACACGGGCACACACGCACACACGCGGGCACACGCACACACACGCATGCACACGCGCAGCTTGCGGGCATCAACAGAAGGAGGTGTGCGGAAGGGAGTGTGCAGCCTGAGGACCTGCACCATGGCCAGCGTCAGAGCACCCGCAGCGGCCCGGTCCTGCACTCGGGCCTCAGCGCCGCGTGTTGTCCGAGGCCCGGGGCCTTGGGAGAAGGGAGGGACGGCCTGACCAGGGCTGAGACTCCCACCACTGACCCAGCGTGGCGCTGGCACACGACCACACTGCCCAGCAGAACAGACGGGAGAACCCAGAAAGAGAGCGACTGCACGTGTGCCCGCCACGGAGCCAGCAGCCCCTCCTGCCGGCCAAGACGGGGGTGGATGCGGCTCTCTGAGGCGGGCAAGGCCAAGGGGCAGCCACGGGACCCCTTAAGAATGGTCCGTCTGCCTCCATCCTCCGGGGGCCTAGAATGACAATCAGAGCTACGAATGCCAAATGGAAACAGACAAAACACCAAACTAAGTAAAAGGACAAGGGACTGTGATCCAAGCTACCCGACAGAGTTCTGGAAACAGACAAAAGGACTAAGATTCTCTCCCCACTGCAGGAAACGGGCAGGCATCCCCAGGGGTCCCCGCTCCCCAGTAGGAAAAATGCAGGTGAGCCTAACCAAAAGGCCCAATGAATTCGTGATTTGAGAACTACAAACGGAAACTCCCGGGATGGTCTTTCTCAGCTGTCGCAGGGCAAGCCCCAAGGGTGTCACCCCACCCGCTGCTGGGGACGACGGGACCTGGGCTCTGACCTGTCAGCACACTTGCCCTGGTTCTCACTCGGGACCCACACAACCGTTTTACCCACGTACGCGACCGTTAGGTCCTGAAAGGCAATCTCAGAGACTGGTAAGCGGAGAGACGAACGGCGGCGCACCCCCAAGAGCCTGCCTCCCAGACAGCAGACGCGGGGCCCGACCGCGGGGCCCGCGAGCGCCAGAGGAGCCGGAGACCGGCCGCCAGCACACTGTCACTGCTGGCATGCGCAGCGCAGGGGCTGCATCCGGGCGACAGCACCAGCGCGCCCCCAGGCCGAGATCAGCAGGTACCAAGACACCCCTGCGGCAGGGCGGGCACGGAACCGGAATCGGGCGGGAATCGTAACCACCACAGCCCGTCCGAGCCCACAACGTGGTCTCTCTTAAAACAGAGCAGCGAGGGGCGCCAGCATGGCTCAGTGGCTCTGGGTTTCGGCTCAGGTCATGACCTCGGGGTCCTGAGCTCAGGCCCCACATCATACTCCCTGCTTGTCCCCCTGCCTCTGTCCCTTACCCCACCCTGCCCCGTGCTCATGCTCTCTCTCAAGTAAACAAAATTAAAAACAAGCAAAAGCAGAGTCCCGGCCCTGGCCACTGAGGTGTTCTAGACCTAGATGGAAAGCGGCTCCGGGGGAGGCTCTGGGCCAGGGTCCCGGGCGTGTGTCATTTCTCTCAGGCTGGGTCACTTCCACCTCCGCGTGACAACACAGCGGCCCATAGGTGACCCAACGCTCTCACCACAAGCCAACACTTCCCCCTCGGGGCCGATCAGAGCCCCACACCACGGGCATGAGCGCAACCCCGCCCCCGCCCTGGTCCCGGGAAGCCGCTTACTTTCTCCCGTGAGATCTTCTTCTTGCCGCAGCCGTCGCAAGTCAAGGGGAACTTGGGACAGACTTCGTGATGCGCCTGAAAGACAGTAGTCGGGGGTGAGGGCGCGCGAGGTCACCCGTGCCGTCTCGTGGCCTCATTCTGGGGCAGCAGCTCCTGAGACCAACAGGGTGGGTCCTGAAGGCGCTCAGAAGCACCGGAGGTCAGAGCTGCCCCCTCATCTGGCAGCTCCAGGGCACCACGGGAAGGACAAGCCACCAGTGGTGACTCAGGGGGACAGTGCTGCTGGTCACCCCGAAACCGGGCCACGGAGGGGGCCAGTGGCCTCTCTGGCCCTGAGGAGCAAGGCCAGCAGGACGGGCCAGGGCCCTGCGAGGGGCGGGAACGCCTCTGGGAGGCCCCCCACGGCGCCCCAATGCAGTCTGGCCCTCAGGAGGCCTCCACACAGACGGCTCCAGACGAAGGGACTGAGGAACGCGGCAGGGGACCCTGGGGACGCCATCGCAACCCTGCAGCCCCGCTGTTTCAACAAATAGGCGGGAAAGACAAGAAAGACACCCCCAGAGCGCCATTACAGATGAAAAGACCTTGTAGACACGTCATCGAGAAGCAGTGTGGGAACAGATGCCACAGACATCACTAAACGTGGGCACCGCGTGAGGCAAGGACGGCAGGGAGTCACCAGTAAGACCCAGAAATGACAGCAACGCGCACAGCTCTCCAGAGACTCAAGAATCTTGAGAGAGAATGACACAAAGCCTGGGACCCACAGGGTAAGCGTGGGGACCCCGACACGGCCTGGCACGTGTGGACACAGACACGGGCGGGTGAGGGCGGCGTGGGCCTTGCACTGCCGCTGTGTGTGTGCACCTGCTACGCTAAAACAGCTTTTTAAAACGCGTCAGCTCTGCCTTTATCCCCAACCCAGGTCCCCACCCAGAACCTTCTACCTCATGGCTGGGAGGGAAGGGCCGGGGGCACGCAGCCGAAGCACCAAACTGGCCACAGCAGCAGAGGGCGCAGCTCAGCAGTGCGGTGACAGCCCCACGGGGCCGGGCACCCTCACCTTCATGTCCGCCCAGCAGCAGGGCGCCCGGCAGTGCCGGCAGCTGAGGCTTCTCTCCGGGCACTCGTGCTCCGAGTGACGCTCCTTCTCCCCAAGGCGGACCAGGCCTTTGCACGCTGGGCACTCGGTCAGCGTGAACGGGCAGCGTCCTTCATGGCAGCTCTGGCAACAAAGGCAGCAAAGCGTCAACAGGGCGCACAGGGGACACTACAGGCCGCCGTCACCGGGCCCCATGTGCGTACGGAGATGGCCACCCTGCTGAGGGCCACTGGGACCTGCGCCGACCCCACAGGTGCCAGATGAGGGGTGCCGCCCTGCGTGCCCCGATCTTATCCGCTGCAGGACCTGTGCTCCAGGTCAGAGGCGAGGAGGACTCAAGTCTAGCTGTTGGCACCCCGCCCATGTGATACCCCACAACATTCCTCCCTGGGGATGCTCCGGAGTGACACTCGGGGACAAGAGGACCACTGTCCAGATAGCAAGAGAGGCCACTGAGGGCAGAGATGGCGTGGGGTACAGAGAGCAGGAGCAGAGGGAGGGCACTCCACAGGGTGGCAGAGCCCTGGCCCCGGGCGGAGGGCCTAAAGCAGGGCCGGTTCTAAGTGGACAAAAGGCCCAGTCTATGTGCTGGGAGGACAGGCCATGCAGCCAGACTGAGCAGAGAAGGACCGGGAGCCCCGAACTCGTGCCATGTCCCTCTCTGACAGCCCGCACAGGCGGCATGGACGGGGAGGGTGTGTGGTGACCGAGGAGCCCAGCCTGGAGCCCACCAGGCGCGGCGGAGGTGGAGGGCGGGCGGGCGCGGGAACCCGGCTGAACCTCAGCTGCCAGCTTTCCTGAGTGTGAGCGGGACACTGTGGGAGGGGGCTCGGCGCCAAAGGTGGGGAAGGGCAGCAGCAAGGACCCGAAGCCCGTCCCAGGCCGGCCCTGCAGGGCCCGGAGCCCACAGTCCCACACAGCCTGCAGGCCCGTGGCAAGTCTGCCAGGAAGGGGAACGGCAGAGGGGCACAGGGCAGAGGAACAGGGAGCTCCAGGTTTGTTTGCTGTTAGGTGTTTCTACCGTGGTAAACCATAAGGACATAAAGTTTACCCTCTCAACTGCTTTTAAGGGCGCCAAACACATTCACGCTATGGGGCACTGTCTCCTCCATCTGTCCGCAGAACAAGGTCATCGTCCCACACTGGACTCTGTCCCACTGAACCCTGTGCCCGGCCCCACCCCGTCCCCGACCCCCCGCGTCTGTGGGTCCGATGCCTCCGTCCTCCAGTGAGTTTCCACTCACACACAGAATTGGTCCTTCTGTGCCGGGATGACCTCACTCAGCACCACGTAAGAAGTTTTAGGCAGGACACACTAGGGCACACTGGGGACGACGAGGAGCCTGCTAGGGAAGGAGGCGAGGTCACCGTGAGAGGAAAGTTCTGGACTGGTCCAGAGCAGGAGGAAGCCGTCCACCGTGGGCTCAGCATCTGCACAGAGCTCTGGGCTGGGGCAGCCACGAGGCGCGATGCCCTCCCGAGGGACTGGGTCTTCAGGGCTTCCCGCGCAAGCTTGGTCGTGGCGCATTCGAAAGCAGCAGGGAGGGCCTCAGACATGCTGTTCCCAGGCGGGGAACATGCTGGCCGTGTCTCCAACCTGTGCCACAGGCTTGGCTGTTGGGGCAAAAGCCCAGCACTTCCAGAGGAAGCAGAAGCCACGGGTGAACTCCAGGGACACGTCTGGTGGGGCCCACTCCTCCTCCCAAGCGCCCATGCCACAAGCTCCCACAGCAGGCACCCCTGCCCTCTACCCTCCCACAGGGACACACTCCAGACCAAACGCCACGCTCCCAGCAGGCCTCCCTGGTTAGCCACCGCGGCCCAACCGAGCATCGCACAGGCTGCCATGCGAGGTCCCGCTGTAGGAAGGCCGCACACCAGGCTGGCCGGCCAGGACACCACACGCCGCACGACGGCCCAGCAGAGGGCCAGCCCCACGCGGTCACCGCAGCCCGGCTCCCTGCCACTCCCTGCCGACGTGGCCTGGCCCCCGCAACCCACCTGCACTGCAGCAGAGCCCGCCTTCGCCGAACCCCCAGGATCCCCAGGGCTGCGGCAGACGGACGCCATGCAGGACCCCGTCTGGGCTACGCCGACCTCGTAACAGTCACAACGCCCCCGGGAGGAGTCCCAGAAGTGATCGCGGCTCACAAGACAGAATACGGTACCCGCAGACAGGCTGCTCGGAGTTAGTTAAGGACGCTGACCACAGGGCGGGACACCTGGGGATCGCTGCGGGGGGGGGGGGGGGGGGGGGGGGGGGGGAGGGTCGAGGCAGCACAGAGCGAGCTGGCACCAGGGAGACGGGCAAGGGGGCACAGCCCTCTGCTGACTGCCATCCGCAGCGGGTCCGACCTCGGACACCTGCATACCTGTCACCCCAGGACCGCCTCGGAGCAGGCGCGGGGCGCCCCGCCCTCGCGGGATGAGAGAGAAGCGCACTCTGGAGGAATCGGTATTTATTCAAGCAGAATTCCAGCTGTCTCCGCGAGCAGCGCCGTGCCGCCTCAGAATTCGCTGGGACGTGTTGGGGGACGGAGCACGCCTGCCCCGGCCTCGCCTTTCAACTGTGGCCTCTGGTGACCTGTGTCCCTCTCCGGCCCTTCTGTGGAGAGCCTTTCCCCGGCCGGCCAGGCCCTCCCGCGCTGCCACCACAGGCCCGCGCCCACTCGGGGCCATCTTTGGCACTTGGCAGGCGCTCCACAAACGTCTCTGACCCGAACTGGAGGTTTAAGTCACTGCCTTCTTAGAAAATATCAGACATTGCTGCAAAGGAAAATCTCATTCAAAGGCTAACCAGGAATTTCCGAACAGCACCAGCATTTCACAATGCCACAACGAGTTCGAGCTCCACCAAGGGCAGCCAGGTTGGCTCGGAGTGGAGGGCGGGTGTGCACGGAGGCCTGATCTCGCTCAGGCCTGTGACGTTCACAGCCAAGGACAAGTTTTACCAAAGGGCCAGGCCTAGTGTCCCAGAGCAGCGCCCGCCCTCCCACATGACCAAACCCACCCTCTCAGGGACTTTCCGGGGCTCTCCGGGCCAGCCAGGGACTTTCCAGCCTACATGCCTGCAGGGCCGTGGCCAAGCCCACAGGCTGGCTGCGGTCCCTGGCCCGAGGCCCACGAAGCCACCACCAGCCCGCACTATGGGCCTGGAAGCAGCAGAAACCAGCCTCTCAGACTGGAAGGTGGGGGTGATTCCACCTGTGCCCAGGGCGTCTCTGGGTCCCTGCAGAAGGCAGCACATCTCCCGTGCCCGCTCCCTACGCCCCACAGAGCCTCCTATACCCACCTAAGACCCAGAGCCTGCTCAGGCTCTCCACCCTCCCAGGAGAGACCCACAGACCCAGGGCCTCCTCTCCAGACACCCCCAGGCAGTTGGAGCTGCCTCTTCTGCTGAGCAGAACCTCTGCCTGCGTGGCACAGCCCGGGGGCCTCTGGGTCTCAGGCCTGGGAGTCTGGGAGTCTGGGGGGCACCAGCTTTGGGCGTGGGGGGCCCAAAGCTGCTCCACTTCTAAGACCCAGGTGCCCACCGGATGGAAAGTGCATCTCTTAGCCTGCCCCACCAGAGCCTCCTCCCTAGACGCGGCCAAGCTGCTCTTCTGGAAACACACAGCTTACAGCCCAGAGACCAGGGAGTCTGACTGGTCAAGGGAACAAGGGAAAGGGCACCTGGGGGCAGCTCAGTGGGTTAAAGCCTCTGCCTTTGGCTCAGGTCATGGTCCCAGGGTCCTGGGATCGAGTCCGGCATTGGGCTCTCTGCTCAGCAGGGAACCTGCTTCCTCCTCTCTCTCTCTCTGCCTGCCTCTCCCCCTACCTGTGATCTCTGTCAAATAAATAAATAAAATCTTTAAAACAAAAGAAAACAAGGGAAGTTCGGCACACAAGACGGGAGCAGGAAGGGAAAAGCCTGCTAGGAGCTCAGGTCCCACTTCCAGCCCCAATGGGCCCTCCACCACCATCACGACTCAGTGCCCAGCGTCCACCCTATGACAGGGGCTATCCCAGGGCCTGGGGCAGGAGTGTGCCTGAGCTTTGGCAAACCGGGGTTCCAAACCAACAGCCCATCCAGCCTCTCCAACAGGGCTGCCCACCGCGAGAGGCCAACCCGCCACTCTCCACAACTCTTGGCCTCCTACCCTGGTGGCCGCCCTGCCCCCTCCTGCCTCTCTGGGTGTCACTGCTCTGGGGCCCTCAAAGGAGAGGCTCCCACAGGACCAGCTCTTTAGGACGGGCTCACGTTGCTGAGCACAATGGCCTCTGAGTCCACCCATGTTAGGGTTTCCCTCCTTCCTTTGTATGGCTGGATACTGGTCCACGGTGCGGATGGACCAGATACGGTTCGTCTCCTCCTCAGGCAGAGGACACCGAGCTACCATGCCATCTGCGTACGGGCAACCGTCGGAGCCGCGCTAGTTACAAAGCGGGGACAGCCACACGAGTGAGCCACAGCGGCTGCGCCGGTCTGCCAGCCAGCTGCCACGCACGCCGACGCGGGGACGCAAGCCAGCCCTGCCCTGTCACTGGCCAGGGCCTCCCTGCAGCCACAAACCGAACATGCAGGATCCTCCTGCCACTCCCAACGTCCACGCGATTCTAAGTAAGAAAGCCCTTGTCTGAGAACACCCAGAAAGATCCCACCAAGCAAAAAAGCTCCTTTCCTGCATGTTCCGGGAGATGTGGCCATGGTGCCCTCAGAGCCAGCACGACATCTGCCACACGCTGTCCCTCACGGCCACCCTGCCATGGCATCCCGAGCGGACAACTGGGCCCGGCCACAAAAATCTTCCCCTGAGGCACGACCCCCGTGAGTCCCCGCGTTTGGACGGCGAGCAGCCACGGGCTCCCCGTGCAGGCTCCGCACGACTGCTTCTGGGGGTGGGGTTCAGGCTCGGAGGCCGTGCCAGCGCAGGGGGCACCCACCTCGTACTCTTTAAGGGTCCCCTTCCAGGTGCAGCCGTCACTGGGACAGACAGCCGGCAGGCTCTCCACCTCCCTGCGCGCAGCGTTGTCTGGGAAAGCCTGAGGAAAGCATTCCGAGGGTCAGGCCTCCTCCTCCCAGCTGCCCGCCCCTGACCCCACCACCGAGACTGTGAGGCTTCCAGACCGAGACCCAGGCCCGAGACGCCTCTGGCGCGGCCGCTCCCAGCTCTGGACGTGACCGTGGCTGGGAGGGCCGCATCCCAGCGGTTCCGGCACCACGCGGCCCTCGGGGGTGTTAGAAAAACACCAGAACGTTTTCTGTTTGTTTTTTGCTTGAAGACTTTTCACTTACCGAACCGCTTTCCAAAATAGAGACGCCTTCCTCATATATGCCCTCGTGAACGCAGGCGGCGCAGTTCTGGGGCCCGGAGCTAGCGAGGAAAGGGGAAGGCCGGCCGTCACACCGGACGCGGAGGGCGCGGGCGCCTCGGGCCAAGCCCAGTCCCCGCTGTGCTCTCGCCTTCCGGCCCGGCCCTCATCCCTCGCGAGCTCGCACGCGGGCTCCGCACTGAAGATCTCTGAGCTGGGGGATGACCCGCACCCTCCGGCCGCGAGACCGCCTCCCCTGCAGACACAGGGGCTCTCGGCGCCCACCCCCGCGTCCACGGGCCGCTCGGAGCGGCCGCCGGGGGCTCCTGCGCACGTGTCCATCCCCTGGAGCGGCGCACCCCGTGCAAACGCCCGAGACCGTCGCGGGCCAGTGAGCGGTCCTGCGCCCACGCGACCCACAGGAGGCGGCCGGAACGGCGCGTATGTCACTCCCCGCGGCCGCAGCGCCCAGACACCGCGCAGCCCCGCCTCCCCGGCTCCGGA